ACAAATGGCATGGGTTAAAATTTTGTGTTCCCTCCTGTTAATTTTTGTGTTCCCAGAACGGTCCCACCTGTTGTTTTCGCCCGCAGTTTAAATAATCACTAGCTTTGTGTCGTTGTGTTACGAATTGCCTCGAGTTAAATCTTTGTGTGACATAATAAATTTTAAATCACCAGCTCATGATAATATAGTTCTTTACACAACCTCAATTCGCGAATATTACTTTCGATTACATTTATATTTACATTCATACTCGGTATCAATCATTTTAAATCATAATGTTTCATCAAGAAAAAATGGAAATTGGTAAGCCTATCTATACTAATACACATAAACATTTGTTATAAGCTTTAACACGAGAATGAAGAATTAAATCTTTAAATCTTTTATTATTATTTATCAATATGTAATCAACTTGCATAGAAAGTACGACCATTAGAACTGTTGGAACTGTTAATACTTCAAAATGGAACGAGAATTTAACTGATCCTTGCATTTCTTCTCCCATTATTGCTACCACTACTAACATTAATGATATCACTGATACGAGTAATTTATCAATTTCAACCAAAACTTATAAGAATGGTAATGGTAACTAAAATAAATCTTGATAATATAATATTGATGCAATAATAATATACATATTATTAACTACATATATACTTAGAACCTCGAACTTTTGATGAATATGATTTTAAACATAATACTTATAGTGTTAAAAGTAGTAATGGTAATGTAGAGATTGATGGCAGAAATACTAGTGGCAACTCTAAAAATCATTTGACGAATGAACAAGTCGAGGTTAAATCAGAAGATAGTGATAGTGTTGCTATTGCTAACAAAAGATTTGCTGACCATTTGAAGATGTGCGATTTGCTTTATCATGGTAGAAGAGGTAAAAAGTTGAAAAAACGGAAACAAACTAGTGATTTAATTGTTCGAGTTGGTGATCTTGAGTCTTTTCGAAAACGTCGAAATGCTGAATCAGAAAAAAAAAAAAAGGAAGAACTTATTAAAAGCTACGAGAAAATGCAAACAAATTCCGTGGAAAAGATAAATAAAAGGTGGCACCGACATGATAGAAAAAATTAAATCAAAAAATCTTGCAATATTATTTTTATCAACATGTTTATTTTAATGATATCTATCTATGCTTTTTAAAATAAATAAAATGCCAAAATTTGCTGTGTAACGATTTGATTATCAAAAACACGTCTCACTGTTTTTTCATTTTTCACGAGTAAAAAAAAATATATTTTAAAATGAATAATAATCAAGACCTAAAAGACAAACTCGCAGAGCAATATGTGAACATAGCATTGAAACATTTCCAATACAAGGAAGTTAAGAGCGAGGTTGATTATTCTTCATAAAAAATCTAGCTTAACAAACGTGGTTTTTTTCATCTAACTTATTATTTAAGATAATCTTTAAAGGAACTAATTGAACTTAATAGACAAAAAATCAAACAATTACTTGAGGAAAATGAGAGAATTCTTGAGGAACAATTAAAATCATCAAAAAGAAGAGCATTTTCTGACCATTCCAAGTCATTGAGAGTTAAAGGTTCTCGAGAAAGTAGCAGTAGCAGCAGGAGCAATGACTCAATGGGGAAAAAATCAATCACGTTGAAATTTCAAGTAAATTTCAAACATATATAAATTAAAAATTGATTTTTTTTCCATTGCTATGCTTTATTGATTAAATTTGATTATTTTATTTTTTTATTGATTTGTAAGGATTTCCAACCAGATGGATCTGTTAAGAGTAAGTTTGTAAATCCCCGACTATTTTCAATTCCTCATGTTAAACCCATTCCAAAATACACAATATGGACTCCTATTATAAGAAACATTAAGGTATAATAATAATAACAACAACTAAAGAAGATGGTTGTGATTTAATAATGATAACTTCATCAATTTTAAAAATTTATTTATTTATATAATAAATAATAATAGACAAAAGATGATCCAGTGTTGAGACATCTTTATTATTTTGGAGAAGGTGCTGAACATGATTTAGATATTGATTTTTACATGGATGTCTTTGATAAAATTGATTTTGGATCTTCTAAATTTGATAACGATGGTAAACACTACCAAAATAATTATTGCTAATGATGATGATGATAATGATGACGTTTAGCGAGAATTAAAATATACTTATTATATGTTTTTATTCAAATTATATATATGTATATATATCCTAGTGGAAAAAATCCTCTTCAAAACTTTTGATCATTTTTTCAATCAATTTGAAATTGAACTAAATGTAATCGAAAGCTTTCTTGATGAAAGAAAGCCAAACGTGCCGCAGCTTAAAGTCACTACCACCAGAAAGAAAAATTATGACTTTATTATTGACGAAATTATTAATTCGTTTCCTGCTATCATCAATAAATGTGATGTTTACATACTATTACAAAGGTATAATAAAATAATTATTCTATGTGTCATTGACTTATATATTCACATATATTTAACATCCAAAAAAAGATACATAGAATGTAAGAAACAATTACAATCTGAGATTGACGATCGTGTTAAAGAGTTTAGGTAACAATATTTAATGCCTTTCATATTTATATTTATATTTATACTATTTATACTTATATATATTTATTTATTTAAATGTGAAATAATTAATAGTCCATTGAAAGAAACTAATGGAAAGGATGTTTCTAAAATCTTTAAAAATTTACAGTGTTTGCGGTGCTACAGATATAATTGCAAACTACATGGTTAATAAAATTAATGATATATATATTTATTTTTTTAATATTATTTTTTCTTTAAAGAATGTTTTTATTTTTCTACTTAAGTAGGTATTAATCAATTACCACGTAAAGTTACGAAAAAACTTCATCCAGCTCCAAATCCAAATGAAGAACCATGTAAAAATGACTGTTATCGTTACTTGATAGAGAAAGTTGATTATAGTGAACAAAGCTTGGAATCTGAGTGGAATGATGAGGAAATTGCATTATTTAATGAATCATGTAGATTAATCGGTACTGAAGATTATTGTGCATTAGCTGTTATAATCAAATCTAAGTCTTGTAAAGAGGTAAGTTATATATATATATATATATATATATATATTTGAACTTGAGTCTGAACTATGGGGGTTTTTTTAAATAATATAAAAGGTTTATCAGAAATCACAATCTGTTGATGACATTATTACAAGCAGTGAAGAAGATCCAAAATTAATTAATAAAAAAGCATCAAACAGAGCAGTGATAATTGGTATTTTTCAAAAATTATTTATTTGTTTATTTATTATTGATAATCATTAAATTAATTTATGGGTAAAATAGATAATGACGCCTATAAACAAGCAGAGTATAATCCATGCTATCATCCTGGTGAAGATTGTACAAGTGCTAAATGCAGTTGTTTAAAAGGGAATCTTTACTGTGAAAAGTATTGTCACTGTGAGGAGAATTGTATGTTTTTATTATTTATTTAGTTTGGACAATTATATATCATTATTAACAAAGCTATTTATTTGCTAAAGGTGAAAGAAGATTTCAAGGTTGCAAATGTAATTATAGCAAAGATTGTGTTTGTGGAACAAAAAAATGTCCTTGTTTTGAAAATAATCGAGAATGTGACTTTGATATATGCAAATGTCCAGCTGGAGGTAATCATTTTTTTATCATATAATTGTGTACATCTATACTTATTTATTTACAATATTGATTAAACATTCAATTTAAGTACAATGCATCTATAACTCTGATACTTATTGTAAAAATGTTATGGTTCAGCAAGGACGTTCCAAAGTATTATTTCTTTTTTTGCTATCCAATAAATATTATATAAATATTTCTATTTATGTGTATATTTTATATGTATAAAAAGTTAACATACATTTATTTATTTTAATAGTCAACCATAATTGGTTTTTCAACGGTGGCAGGGTGGGGACTATTTATGAGAGAAGAAGTCAGAAAGAGCGAATACATTGGTGAATACATTGGCGAAGTAAATAGCGAAACTATTATTTTTATATATTAGTTAATTAATAAAAATATATTTCATAGATTATATCACATGCAGAAGCTGATCGACGAGGAAAAATTTATGATAAACGTCGTAGTAGTTTCTTGTTTAACCTGAACATAGGTTAGAACCATTTGATTTTTTTGAATGATTAAATATTTATAATTTTTAATTATATAATTCATTGTGTTATGTAATTAGACACAGTAATTGATGCCACTAGAAAAGGCAATAAATTAAGATTCATAAACCATTCAAATTCGCCTAATACAAATTGCCGTGGTATGTGTTATATAATTTTTTAAAAGGTTAATTGTGGTATCAACTACAAATACCACAAATATTAATTAAATTGGTAAATAAATAGTGGTTATGGCAAATGGAGAACATCACATTGCTATCTATGCTGCTCAACTTATAAAACCCGGCGAAGAATTATTTTATGATTACCAGTAAGAAACGATTATTAATATTTTTTTTGCATATTATAAAATATATCTATTTTTATCGATCTCATTTATTCCTTTGGGTTTTTTTTTATTAGATATGATGGTCACGCTCTAGAGTTTGTTCCGATTGAAAGAAAAAAAATTAACAAACCCAAAAAAAAATAATTAATCTTTTGATGCTATGATTTCATCCAAATAGATAGATGAAAAAAATAATGATTATATTTTTTACTTTTAATTATTATAATTATTATAATACATTACTCATTTCAAGCCTTTAAATTTATAATCATTTGATTTTTACAATTAATTTAATCATAAGATTAACTAATTAATTTCATTTTATCCTATCCTAACATAATCATCGCAATGTATTATAATAATTGTAATAGTAATAGTAATCAAATATATGAGAAATCTATGTTCTTTAAATAGTTCTTTATCAGTACCAGGACTTGGGAACCCAATAATTATCCTTGCGTGAATTTTATTATTATTACTCATAACACCTTTCCACAATATTTGTACGTCTTTATCGTTTTTTTCTTCCTGTAAAATCTAGTTTAGAATCCCACAGAAACAATAACAAAGCAAGCCGCATTAAGATTTCAGGATCCCACAGAAACAATAAGAAGCAAGCCGCATTAAGGTTTCAGGATCTCACAGAAACAATAAAGAAGCAAGCCGCATTAAGATTTCAAGGATCCCACAGAAACAATAAAGAAGCAAGCCGCATTAAGATTTCAGGATCCCACAGAAACAATAAAGAAGCAAGTCGCATTAAGGTTTCAGGATCCCACAGAAACAATAAAGAAGCAAGTCGCATTAAGGTTTCATGATCCCACAGAAACAATAAAGAAGCAAGCCGCATTAAGATTTCATGATTCCACAGAAACAATAAAGAAGCAAGCCGCATTAAGATTTCAGGATCCCACAGAAACAATAAAGAAGCAAGCCGCATTAAGGTTTCAGGATCTCACAGAAACAATAAAGAAGCAAGCCGCATTAAGATTTCAGGATCCCACAGAGACTAAAAGCGAAGCAAGCTGCACTCTTTTTGATGATCAATGATAAACATAAAAAAAAAAATTTTTAAAAGCCATAAGCTGCACAAAAATCCCATTGGGACTTAAAAAATTTTAACAAATAAAACAACCCCACAACAAATGATACCTGAGTATTAAAGAGTTCACTCCATTTCTGCCTCAATTCCTCTTCAAATTTTTGAATTCTGAATATACAACATTAATCCTCGACAATATGAATCATTCTTTTCTCTTTGATTTCCAAATGTCAGTAAATTGTTCGTTGTTTTGTTCAACAAGTCACTCGAATAACATTTTGCAACCCAAGAAATTTAGAAATGAAAAAGAAGAATGGTTTTGGCTTTTAAAATATTCCATTTTCAAAAAAATATAGCGTCCTCAAAAAAATGCTAAAAAATTAGGAAAACGCTCCTTTCATTGGCTGGTTAAGTAAGATGTTTACCAGGATTTTTTCCAAATTTGGAATTTCCAAATACTGTAATGATCTACATCCTAGATTCATTGTGAACAAGAGCACAAAATTTTAACCCATGCTATTTGTTGATTGACCAATTAAAATCGCGAATTTGATAAACGTAGAAAATAAATAATCACTTCACCAACAATTGTTTCATTAACGAATTTAAGAAGTTGGAAGCAACCATGCGACAAACCATTGAAATAGTCTAATA